ATTGGCTTGTATTTATTAATTATCAGTAAGAAAATTTTTAGTTGTTTAGATAATTAAAATTAAAACAAAGCTAATGAATAGAAGGTTAAAGTATCTTCAAATATGTTTTATTAAATTATGGTGAAACTGTTCGTGAGCCTGAAATTAAGCATATTGTTTTATTGCAACTTAAAGTCAATCGAAAACTATCAATTAGTAGTCGCTGGAATGACGCTGTGAAAAAAACCCTACGCGAACTCGAAGTGGCAAGTGGTAGCGCGCGTTCGGCAAAGGTGACTTCTCTAGTTTCGGGGGCAAAGACTCACTTTAAGTTACTGCGCTAGTGGAGTAAGTGAGTTAGTATGGCGTGATTAAAATGTTATCCGGGAAAATAAAGAAGCATAAATAACATATTAAGCAGAAACTACCTCCTTATCCATAAATACGAACTAAATCAGTCTAAAAGCACTGTTTTAACATAAGTACTCGTTTTCGGTTTTTTTCTCATTTTTTAAATTTTTTCTTTGATGAAAAGAGATAAATTCATGTTTATAAGTTAAAATAATGTAGGGGAAGGTGGGGACCCTTCGTACGGTTTTCACATTTTATTTTTTAATTTTTTAATTTTTCCATGAATCAATCACCTGATAGCTTAAATTTATAGTCTAACTATCTGAGATTCAAATAAAAAAATGACAAATGATTTCATCCGATGTTTCAACCATAATTATGATTTAAACTAAATCTGGAAAACGTACGAATCTGCCCCATCAACGGGGCACCTTCGTACAGTGTTTGGGGTACCTTCTTACGCTGTGGGGTAGTTCAAAATTCATTTATTAGCAATGAAATTAAACACAAAAATAAAGATTTAATTTCTATTAAACAAAAATAAAATACTTTTCTTATGTAAAACAAAATTTAATTAGTTAGGTATCTTAAATTTAGAATTACATTTTTTACTCTTTGGTGTGGATTACAACTTCTTATTTTCGGGTGTGGCAGTATAAATTCGTGGTTTTCCTGGCCGTCATCGTCATTTTGCTTGTTTTATTACTTCTTACAGAATGCGAATAGGGTCGAAATGCCTCTGGTGTCAAAACTGACTTCGAAGGAACTACTATTTGATGGATTGGTAAATTATTCACAGCATCTGGTTCACAAGCATCAAAATCAACCTTAGTCAAGATGCCTTAACAGTAGTGTAATATGTAGAAAGTCGAAAACTTAATTTGTATGAAAAAGACAGTTCGCGTCGACAAATTATTATACAAATTTAGTTGTACAATTCGTACAAATGTGCCCCATCTAGTGCTGTCCGAATGTACCCCACTAACTGAATAACAACAAAATATAACTTATTTTAATATTAATAGGAAAACGTCATAAATTAAGTATTGGAGACGTATCTTAAGTATATTTTGCTAGTTACTGATAGAATACTCTACACGAAAACTTATTTTATCTACGGTAACAAGAGATAAAAACATAGATCAAAAATTACTTACCGAGCGCGAAAACACGTCTATGCCTGTAACTTCACTCTCATCGGTGCGAATTTCACGAAACTTCGTTGATGTATAGTTGGTACCTCGACTCATGCACACATACAAAAGCAAGACTGTACTTTATTTCGTTCAAGTTTTATTTTGACTGTATGAATGTGCCCCGCGTACGAAGGGTAACGATCTTCCCCTATATCATTTTTATATAGATTGATTAGATGGTAAAATAAACTTCAAAGCTTCTTATTGTTAACGAACCCCTCATTAAATGTATGCACTTACGTTAAAAGCTCAATCACCTTACGTCATTTACCTAATACTGTACTTATAAAAATATTATAAGAGTAACATTGGATCTGTTTATTTATCATTTAAATTACGAATGACGCTATGAATTTTGAAGGTACATTTTATATAATTAATAGTAATTACCCTATTATATAATAATAATTAATAATTTCACAGAGAAACATAATGTATGCTTTTATCATCTTTAATTAGTTTTACAAACTCACAGTATTTTAAATACCTCGTTAAGAGTAGGGACGTTCCAGATTTAAGTCTGACAAAAATTTAACAAATATCAGAACATTTCCATCAACGTAAGATAATAACGGAAGTTTATAAAACGTGATCAGTTGCCGCTAAGTGAAAAGCGAAAAAAACCAAAGTTAGCTCTCAAAAGCATCAATATTTCACGTAGAAGTTAGGTGAAGTATAGCGAATTTCAAAGTTAAGCAATGCGAGGTCACGTATTGCACGGTTTTGCTCATAAACTGTATTATGCTCAAAGTTGCCGAGGTTTTACTGACTTATTTATTTAGAGTAATCCCTTACGCAGCCAACTCGGCGCTTGGATGCTGCTGTAGTGTTACGAATTTGTAGTTTTTAAAAGATCACTGGTACTCTGTAACTTCCATAGCGATATTGATACCCCGACTTTTTGGATACAATTTTAATGTAATTTTCTCAGTATGGGTAGATCTTATGATCATGCTGTACTACTGTGATGTACTAAACATTTAAATATAGATAGCAATCGCTATCACTATTCGGAGTTCTAGAGTACCGATGCTTAATTGAAAGTGGATTTTTGATACCATATGAAATGTGCCAATTTATAAGAAATATTTGTTTCGTTTTATAAGACTGTATCAGAGTCTTTTAAACACGTAACTTAAATAATTGACTTACATCTGATTTTGAATGATACCACCGCCCATGGACACACACACTAAGTAGGCTTGTAAATGCGTTGCCGGATTTTTAAGTAAACATCCTCTCCGACAGATTTCCGCCCGCGGCACAAAGGCATCCTTTGTTCATCGGGTAGGAGAGGTTGAAAGTATCAGCCGGAGAAGATTTTATAAACATATGTTTTATAATTTTATTCACTATATGCTTCTTTGTGTTTGAAAATAAGAAAACTTATTTGATGTCTACCACTGAAACCAACATTAAGACTTTAGGCATCATGGAATATAATATCCACAATTTTATTCAGAAAAACGTTTCACGTGCTTATCAACCGAACAGAATATCAATGATACATTAGCTGTACATGGTCGTTTCGTAAATATTCGATTCTGTGTGACTAACAGTAACATGCTTATGATACTCAAGTTTATTTTAATTAAATTTGGCCATATCTCTCCACCTTTTTCTTATGATTGCGAAGAAAGTTTACTTTTATCATCGTCAAGTTTATCGTGGGTCTGCAGGTTTCTTTTGTTTTTTGTACAAAAAAGTTAACAAAGTTTTATTAACATTTAATTACATGAACACTGTGTTTGTGAGTTTATGTTTTGGAAGACTTAGTCAGATAGGTGTAATATGTAGCTACTTGACTGTTTAAGAAATATGTATAATATTTTGAAGGGTTAAAACATTTTATTAAGGTTGATAAAAAAGGTAATTTTATATCAAAATAAATGTTTGTTAATTGTCAAGCCTTACCTCGATAAACATGCACACACACACAATATTAGTATAAATTTAATACAGTTTATTTTTGTTTATAAAGAAAATTAAATTACGAATGCCCAAGTGTTAAATTGAAATTTTCTATTTGCATCTGTTGTATACATAATGCATTCACAAAGAACTTCATGCATAATAAATTCTTTATGCTTCATATATTCTAAATATTTGAGTTCAAAATAAGATAATCGCCTAAGTACGTCAGTAGTTCCCACCAACAAGCCTGGTTCGAAATTTAAACATAGAGAAAGGTTATAGGGGTTCCCTAATTTAGCATTTTTGTTCCACGTTTGAATGGTATTAGTATAAATACGTAATCGCCAAAACGTGGCAACGTTTATATTGATTCATTGGACTATTCAAGGTCACTTGAAATATAATTTGCTAATAGTATTCATCACGCTTAACAAGTGATACGTTAGACGAATTCGATCTCGTTAATAGATTTAATGCAATAGAAAACATTGTACTTAAGTATTAAAATAGTGGCCTTAAAATCCCCACAAATACCCTCTAAGATATATGGAATTGAAGAAAACCATGAGGCCAGCCCTGCGATTCTGTAACTCACTTTTCGAACTCACACAGCGGTTTTCGCATCGGCGGTCGCTCTCAAATCAGTCGTGAAGCAGTCATTTTATGATTTGGCATTCTGATAAACAATAAACAACAAGCTCCCACCTTTTCAGAATGCCGAATCGCAGGGCTGGGTCTAAATAATATTTTATATAATTTAAAATGTTATATATACAATTTCAAAAACCCAAAAAAGTTTATTTTCCTTTACTAGTTAGAGCAAGAGTGCTGTAATTCTGGGAAATATACGACTAGCCAAGTTCCTTAGAAATTTCTATTATACTTCTGAAAGCAAAAATTCACGGTAACATATATCCAGATTAACTCGTTAATCCTCGACGATAAACTTTAGCAAAAAGATTTATTTATAAATATACATGGTACAGTTAAATTGACTGATTTTAAATGCAAAAATACAGAATACGAGGTTTGTTCAAAAAGTATCGCGAATTTTGAATTCTCGTATACCAATAACCAATCTTTCAACCCTAGACTATAGGTTCTTTTTTTATCTTTATTATCTACGAACCGTATTTATAAGCAAAATCCTAGGCCCCTTTTCGATTCATTACTACAACTTCAAGTAAGGAATCTTATTGTACTTTAAATAAGGAATCGTTGTATTTTTTCTTAGTGAATTATATTATAAATAACACATTATTAATATGTTCGCGATAGTACAAGAACGTTTTCACATCATAAAAGCTACGTTAAAGTTCAATTGGAAGACCGAATGTTTCCGTCTTTTGTGCAAAATTCAATCGAACGCCAGTCATACGGCAATCTTGAGAGATTTAGACTTTATGAGTTTAATCAAATAATTCTCTAGTTAAGTAAAGTAGTTTAATTTTAACGATTAAGACTAATTTTTAATCAGTATATATTAAGCAGTTAACTCAACTTGGATAAACGGTAAAGATTACGAAAGTAAAAGATTTTTTTATTTATTTTTAATATAATTTATTTTTTCCTTAACTGTAGCCGCTTTAGTCTTTGGTATTTGGCTAACATATTTGTTGATGGTGCGATATTACGCGGATTTCTCTTCAAGCGATCGGGGGATGCTCTTGGGGGGTACTGCCAATCTGGACACCTGGAAATAAAATACTATAAATAACGATACCTAGAGGAGATAATAACTAATATATACATAAATTGATGATTATTATTTATAAAAAACGCGTTTATATCACTTAAATAAAGTTCAACTTATAATAATTTTTTGGTGCGCGAACAATCACGCGCGGTTCAAGGTGCCAAAATAAAAGCACTCAATATAAATCTGTATCAAATAAATAAAACAGTATAAGCAATAATTTTATATGAATAAAAACTCCTTCGTGTTATTTTGCCATAATATTTGGTTAAAATGTCAATTTGTATGAAATTTATTAAAATTTCCATCTTGTATATATAATTTATATAATTTCCACCTATATTCTTAAAACATACTTCTCAATATCAGGCAATCGTTCTCCTTTACATCTGTTCTCCCACTTTGTCCAATACTTAAAGCCTTCCTCTTCAAACACTTTCAGTGCGCACGCGCAGTCGTCCCTTATTTCTTCATCTAGCAACGCTGAAAATATAATTATCAGCTATAATTATTTTATTTTAAAACTTTAAAATTTTGCAATATATGTGAAAGGTGAATGACCTTTTTTAATAGCTTATAATATTGACTCTATGTAATATTTATGTGCAGGGCATCATTGTATGAATATTTAATGCATGTATAACTGTTTCATTCACAAACCGAATAATTTTATCATATTGTTATATCTTATAACCCGTTTTAACCCATAATCATACGAACTATCTTTATTCTTAAGTAAAATCTGTGACTTGAAAATAAATTGAAATATATATAACTTAATAAATTTTTTTAATAATAAAGTTTAGTTAAATCACTTAAAATCAGTTTAATAAAACTCAAATTTACCTTCACAAGCGACGTTGCATTTTCCTCCTTTGCGGCCTTCCTTGCAATATTCGTTACCTAGCTGTAATGATATTATAAACCAGAGTTAGCCTACTCCGGTTGACCTATGAGTTTTCGTGTAACATTTCCTCCAACAGTGAATCAACTATCACAAGACTGTCTTAGAATCAAAAATCTACGATAAGGCTGATTCTACTTGTCTATAAAAATTCTCCATAAAACAGAGAGCGTGCCCCATAGAGTATCGCCGAGATATATTTCATGACGATAGATATTTGTACTCATGAAAATTGTAGTATTTGCCAGTAATGTTATAACTTTAGTTTTAATTTCACTCATTAATGAATGTTTACATCAGCAAGTATAACTTATTAATTATACTTTAAAATTCCCCTATCGTGTTAAACGTTATGAATCGGGATATACCTATATCGTTAGCCAGAGACGACCACGAAGGTGACTTAAAATTTGCCTTCCAAATGAAAACGTTATCAAATAGCCACTTCGTCCTCGCGTCTTTATCTTTCTGTGTAACATTATTGTTAAGCTTATAAGCTCATCCAAAACAAAAACGCCACTTTGAACAAATGACAACATTTTCATCCAGAAATCAAACGCTGTTTTACTAATACATACTTGAAATAATCCATAATACTGCTTTCTCGAAGACTTTACATTAAGAGCCGATGTATTTCTGCCACTTTCTTGTTCTATTAAACAAACCCCTGGAATTCCAGACGAAACATATTAACTTGAAATAAATATATTAAATTGGATAACATTCGATTTTTATTTGTATATGATTTCGTAGAAATATTGCTTTTCTTTTGAAATTTTTAACAAAGAAATATAAAAAACTTTGTAATTTGTCTCTCTATTCTTGTGTTTATTTGTATATACCTTGTATTTGAGACGTGACTTTTATGTTTTCTTATTGAATAAATACGTACAAAACAACTCTTTATATTTATTTAAATATCTTGAATATTTAACGATATATTTATCAAAACTCCTTGACTGACTTCAAAAGAGTTGACGAGTCTAGTCGTAGACACACATATATGTGCAGTGCTAAAGTTAAGCTATATCTAAAAATAAAATTGGATAGTCATGACCTGGTACATTTTTTAAGAAAGGAATCATAGGTAATATCGAAATCTCGCTTACAATTCTGACAATGTGATTGTGAATATATTTAATTTCATAATAATAATTAGAATTTACTTTTCTTGTTATTAAAACTGATTTCGAGAGTACACAAAAATGTCTAAATATTTGATCGGGAGCATGATGGCAACATTACTTAATTATATTAAAGTAAACATGTCTGTTTATAAAGGAATTTAATTGTATGTACTTTAAGAACCACATTATTTGAACGTTTTATTCGTTGTTAGATGAATATTATTTTTGAAATATAATGTATTATTTTGTATGAATACTACAAATTTATTATACATTGTTTGTACCAATATAGTATCTTCCCACGGTTTTAAGGTAATGTATAATATATCTTGCAGCCGTACTCGAGTCATCTTTTAATTCGTCTCTAATACAATTATAAATAAATAAAGAATGGTGCAATCTAGCGAACAAGAAGCATGAGGCCCAAAATGTGAGTGCAATGATTTAATTAATTATTTACCCAGGATTCTTTAAGATAAAACTTACGATAAAATATATAATTTAGGTATTTTTTATAGCTGCTCTATATAATGAACCAATATATAAAGTACCTAATGCGAAATTTAAATAAAAAAAATGGATGTGTGTAAAAGCGACACTTTACGAGTTAGTTATAAAAAAAATTAAAGTACATCAGGGGGTGTATGACACAGTGCAGAGAGGAATGGTGGAATTCGTAGGAGGCTTTTGCCAAAAAAGGACAAACAGATACCTAAAAGAAATTGAAATAGAAACGTGTTTAAATGTAAAAGTACCTAAAAGTATTATTATTATTTATTTTTATAATAATAATTATAAAAATATTTAGAAGGCATTATATTGTTCCGCGGCTTTACATTTTATTAACATTTAGAACAATATACATTTCAAACAATTAACATGACAAGGTCGTAATAAATGTCCCATACATTCTACAACAATAATCTTTAAAGTTTATCAGGAAAAAAACCCAACTCATTTGAATTAACTATGTAACATAACAATAGAGCATAACGCCTACATAATATTAAAATAATTATTTTAAAATTTACTTACAGTTACTAAGGAAAGTTTTTTGATGAAAATTAGTTTTTAGGAACTCTCGTGTTAGTTGACATCTCGTAAATACTTTCGCCTCTGCTACATACACAAATATTGAGCAAATAAAAAAAGCGCCCAACACACATCTTGCCGCCATCACTGTTAGTTGACAACTGCTAGTGTGACATTTTATCTTGCGCACACACCGTTGACATTTGACATCTGATTCGGGAAAGCCAGTGATAAACACTTGAGATTATAATTGGTTGCATAGTAATTCTTTATCATTTCTTAGTAGGAAATGCTTGGCTTGAACACAATGTACAAATTATGACTATTATTTTCAACGGATATGAATTTATCATATATTATGATCAGCGAGAGACTTTCGAATTATTATTTAAATATGTAGTACTCCCGTAAACCAAAGTCCTACGGCTAAGAATATTAAACGTCAACGATGAAATGATCAGACGCATCGTGCGGAATAAAACACTCTTAAGGTCAGTACTCACATACGGTATTACTCGATAGTTTTACTCGAAGTCGAGTAAAAATCAACGTGTGGACCGCAAAACTTACAGCTCGAAGGCTGGCAGGCTCGATGGAATTAAATGAAAGTAATTTCCTTCGAACCTACTCGCAGCGAGCCGTCAATCTTGACTCGAACGTGTGTACGTGACTGCGAGTGGCGCGAGGCGAGCGTCAGTCTGGTATTGTTTATCGTGATTGAAACACGTGTTTTTAAGAGAAATGGATTTTTAAGTAAATTCCAAAAGCGCTATAGAAGACTTTATTAACACATATAGACAGTGTGTGAGTGTTTATGGAATGTCAATTCCAACGATTACTCCCACAAAAATAAGAGAAATGAATGTTATGATAAATTACTAGCTGTGCTTCAACGTTTTTTCTTTTCATTTTCTTTGATTTTCTTATAAAGCACTGTGAGACTTGCTAAATACAGCCACCGTCTCCTTTATTGCACAGACATCCTTTGGCTCGAACGGTTCGGTGAATAGTGAACGGCGCGCCTCACTCGATAGATCAATGCTCAATGTGTGGACGAAAGCCCATGCCATGGGTTTTACTTGACAGTTTATCTTGATCGAGTAATACCGTATGTGAGTACTGACCTATATGAAATTATATGTATAATTTATTGTTTGTGGAGACGTTTTTAAAATGACTCGACTTGTCAACCATAATTAGCGAGTTTCCCGCGCTTTGAGCTTGGTACTGAAAAACCAAAGACTTCGTTTCCAAAGACAAAACGGCTTCTAATTTTAAATATTTGGGATTGTAGACTACATTGTGCTTGTGTGTTCTGTAATGGGTGTTTCTATTTCAACTGTTCTTTTTGACTGGTACTCTTAAAGGTAACAAAATATGAATACATATGAGAAAAGGGATTTTTTTGTATATTTGCCCAACTTTCTACTCAGCAACAGCAAAATAGGCAAAAAACTTATTGATTGAAATGAAATGAAATAAGCCCATTTGTTAATATTTTATTAAAAAAATAAAATGTAATTTATAATTTATTTTGTACACTAATTACATTCTAATTAAAGCAGAACCAAAGTTCTTTTCAAACATATACAATCGCCGCTACAAATTAATTAAAACCTACGTTAATACCACAAACAACAGAAGAAATTAATTAAGAGGAAAAACCTGTAACGGTTTTGAATACCATCGCACTTTTTTGACGATACTAATTATTTAGGAGTCTCGGAGGACCTTCATTGGAACACCTCCAAGTGAGTTTTGCTCCGGAAACGCGTCAAAAAAACGCGTTTTTTTTTTTTTTCACCTGGGGAAACCCGATTACGGGCCCCCGCGCCTGGGCAAGTGTGATTGGCGCGGGGAGTGTGGGGATCAAGGTCGTAAAATGCGATGGTCCCCATACCCACTAAAACCACCAGGGCCCAATACATAGCCATAGCACGTGTAGAGCAGTAAACAAAAGCAAAATAAGCAATATAGCAAAATAAAAAAATCGGTCAGTCAGTGTTTAATTTATAGACATATTTGACAGCTTTAATTAGCTCCAAAAATGGGTCTTTTTTATGTTTTGTATTGTTTCGCCGCCACAAATATTCATAGACATGATCTGAAAAATTTTCAGAGTTATTATAATTATCCTTTTTAAAAAATCTTTTTACTGCCCTCCACTGTGACTCAATCCTTTGCGTATGGGTTCCATCTTCAGCCACAAACGGGTTTTCAGGGTCTGAATGATTCACTTTTTGATGTATGTACCCATGGTCTGCCAGACAATCGTATGCTTTCCAGAAGTCAGTATGAATGATAGTACCAACTTCAACATGTTTTTGAATGAGAGGAAGTAATATATCAGCTGATCGAATATTATTTGGGCACACTTCCAATCTTAGGTCTTCAGATTTGTCTTCGATCATACCAAGGACCCAATAGCCCTCAATATGTCGTCCTACAACAATTAAAGAATTAGTTAATAAGCTTAATGAGTTAAATAAATTTTGTAGATGTGATAATAATAGGGTTATTGGACAGCTCTGGTTTTTAAATTACACTCTAGGAGTAAAACAGACTAATAACACATATAGTAAATATTAATTAATAGTGCTATAAAATAATTACCTCGATTATATTTTCTTTTCCCAAATTTAGATTCATCAATCTGGACTATCTTCCCTGGGCCACCAATCTTTCCTACCGCTTGAGTTTTATCCATTTGATATATAACTATAGTTTCCCTACAATAACTATACCAATCACATATAGTAACTCGGCTTAAGGATTTAAGTCTATCATCTTTATATGGATCTTCACGCATGGTTGTAAGATAGCTCCAATTTTGCGAAAACGCATATAATAAATAGAAAACATGAACTAATTCTATTTTAATATTTTCGAAAAATGTTCCTTTATTTCTAGGAACTTTAGTTTTTGATCTGCAATTTCCTTTCGTGCAACACCATGAACCAAATGTTTTATTCGTCGATTTAGCAATTTTCATGGGTTTACGATGTGTACTACATTGCTTTTGAGAATGCACTAAACCATTTTCTTCAGCGAATGCCACACACTGCTCATTGGTACCTAATTTTTTATATAATCTAATCAGATTCCACAATGAGACCACTTCCTCACTATTCAAGTCACGATTCACAACGGACCCATCGTCCTCAAAATCATTTTCACGAGTAGAACTTGTAGACGCCATCACTATAAATCTGAAAATGATCGCGAGAAATCAGTGTTGATTATGTATGTAAAGCCAAGTTTCAAAAAATGCAAATAAAATAACGCACTTTCACGTGAAAATAAAAAGAAACGGATTTATAAAGTAAACTTTGCACTGTAAAACTAATTACCGCTAGTCTAGCATAAACCACATTCAAAATGGCCGATTAAGTTTATAAAATTAATAGGGATGTGAAAAATAATCGATTTTTTTTAAAGTGAAAATCGATTTTTGTATTCGATTTTAATATTAAAAATAATTGAAAATTCGGCGACCAAATATTCATATACTAACTCTAACCTAACCAATCTAAATAATATTTGTTTTTGTGGACAGCTCCGATCTAAATAGAAATTGTTTATTCAAGCCTCGGCTTCTCGGCGTCCTGGTCGCCTTCGGCGACCAAATATTCATATACTAACTCTAACCTAACCAATCTAAATAATATTTTTTTTTGTGGACAGCTCCGATCTAAATAGTAATTGTTTATTCAAGCCTCGGCTTCTCGGCGTCCTGGTCGCCTTCGGCGACCAAATATTCATATACTAACTCTAACCTAACCAATCTAAATAATATTTGTTTTTGTGGACAGCTCCGATCTAAATAGTAAGTGTTTATTCAAGCCTCGGCTTCTCGGCGTCCTGGTCGCCTTCGGCGACCAAATATTCATATACTAACTCTAACCTAACCAATCTAAATAATATTTGTTTTTGTGGACAGCTCCGATCTAAATAGTAAGTGTTTATTCAAGCCTCGGCTTCTCGGCGTCCTGGTCGCCTTCGGCGACCAAATATTCATATACTAACTCTAACCTAACCAATCTAAATAATATTTTTTTTTGGACAGCTCCGATCTAAATAGTAATTGTTTATTCAAGCCTCGGCTTCTCGGCGTCCTGGTCGCCTTCGGCGACCAAATATTCATATACTAACTCTAACCTAACCAATCTAAATAATATTTGTTTTTGTGGACAGCTCCGATCTAAATAGTAAGTGTTTATTCAAGCCTCGGCTTCTCGGCGTCATGGTCGCCTTCGGCGACCAAATATTCATATACTAACTCTAACCTAACCAATCTAAATAATATTTGTTTTTGTGGACAGCTCCGATCTAAATAGTAATTGTTTATTCAAGCCTCGGCTTCTCGGCGTCCTGGTCGCCTTCGGCGACCAAATATTCATATACTAACTCTAACCTAACCAATCTAAATAATATTTTTTTTTGTGGACAGCTCCGATCTAAATAGTAATTGTTTATTCAAGCCTCGGCTTCTCGGCGTCCTGGTCGCCTTCGGCGACCAAATATTCATATACTAACTCTAACCTAACCAATCTAAATAATATTTGTTTTTGTGGACAGCTCCGATCTAAATAGTAAGTGTTTATTCAAGCCTCGGCTTCTCGGCGTCCTGGTCGCCTTCGGCGACCAAATATTCATATACTAACTCTAACCTAACCAATCTAAATAATATTTGTTTTTGTGGACAGCTCCGATCTAAATAGTAATTGTTTATTCAAGCCTCGGCTTCTCGGCGTCCTGGTCGCCTTCGGCGATCAAATATTCATATACTAACTCTAACCTAACCAATCTAAATAATATTTGTTTTTGTGGACAGCTCCGGCGCTACGGGAAATGCAGCCCCTCCACCCTTGCGTACCAAAGCACAGGCATTTTATTCAAGCCTCCGCAACCTCGGCTTTTTGGTCGCCTTCGGCGACCAGCCTCAGCCGCTACAGCTTTCATAATGCCTGTGCTTTGTTACAGCGGGTGGGGGCTGCTCTTCCTCCGCGCCTCCGATTATTTATATACACTCTAGGGGTAAGACAGACAAGACCACGTGGATAGTGGGGTGCTCTGATTCGGTTTTGGGTACTTTTTGGATATTAAAGTAAACACTTTATTCTAGTAAAAATTAAATAATATAGAAAGTTGCAAACAATGAAATACAAGTACTAATTAGAAAATACAGACGAGTAGGTATCGATAATTTCAAAAAATTTCGGAACCCTATAATCTATCAACACGAAATTAGGTTAATTTCAATGTTGATTATTCTATAACTTTAAATTTCAAAAATGAGGAAATAATCGATAAATAAATAAAACGATTATTAACAATCGATAAATTAAAAACACGATTTTTTTAAGTGAACGTCACATCACTTATAACCAATAGAAAAGTAGAAAATGGCGGATTGTTTACAAATTTTAATACATTACACAAAACTTTAAATTTTTTATAAAAATATTAAGACGCGTTTCCGGAGCAAAACTCACTTGGAGGTGTTCCAATGAAGGTCCCCGGACACTCCTAGATAATTAGTATCGTCAAAAACGTGAGGTGGTATTTAACACCCAACCCGAAAAACCTGTATTAAATACAAAATGATCGTCATTCAAGTTTAATATAACATAAAAATACAATTAAACAGATTAGTAGAACAAGTTATGTAAAAAGTCTTTATCGGAATATAAAAACATTGTGAACTTTAGTCTAAAAGCTAAAAAATCGAATTAGTTCATAAATCTTCACAGATATTCGTTATATAGATGTTAATTATTGACGGCACATAATAAACAAATGATCATGCAACAATGATGCTAATACAACAACATTTAAACGTAGTAACTACAACCTAAAGAGTATTACATATTTTACAGTTCAATTACCGTCAAATGACCCATCTATTAATATTTTGACCTGCATTGTACTAGTATAATGCGATTTAATTTCGACGCAATAGTTTATTTAATCAGTCAATATCGGATGTTGCGACGTTGCCGCACTTACCAGGTAGGATTATCATAAGTTTAACTATGTATAAACCCGAATATTTATTCCTACGTTGAATATAAAAATTATATAGTCTAGTATAATTGCGCTGCATATGTTAATACTTTCCAATGACGTATTTTTCGTTTATTATTTAAGCACATTGAAGAGTTCCTCCTTAGAAATGGTCTTTGCAATACCTATTGTATACTTTTAAACTTTTATTGAATTTGTATTGAATATTTTATTGAATTGATCTGTTAGGTATTTCGGTCATGAATACGCAATTCATGAATGTATTTTTGGATGCAAATTTCAATTTGTTAACAGAGTTTTATATACCTATTAAATATGTTATCGTTATTATTGATAATTAAATTGTCTCTTTATAATTAAGTGAGTATGTTTCAAGGACTTATTTTTTGTCAACTACAAAAAGTACTCTTAAAGAAACATTAAAATTGAAGAACATTTAGTTTTACCTGTCGAGTTTTTAGTTAAATATAATATTTTATATAACTATATTTAGTTAAATTGTAATTTGTTTCTATATTCTGATCTTCTTGACAGGTTTTCATATCCGCTCCACTGATAGACGATTTTCAAAGATCGATACAAAATCATAATTTAAATATAGAATATAAAATACGTCCATAAAGATAACATAATTTACTTTATAAAGATAAAATCGATCTAAAAAAAGGCTTTTACAATACAGGTCAAAGGTAAATTCCTCGAATGCAACGCGATTTCTTTATACTCTTTGCCATGCCTTTGGCGCCATTCAAAAATATTTATAATTTTCTTTTCAATTCGTAATCATGTGATAAACATATAAAATAAGAAATACATACGAATAAACAGGCAATCAAATCCTTTGAAATCCATTAATCTTCATGTTGTTTGAGATCCTGATCAATCGTAACCTGGTGACCTTGTTATCGAAAAACGGCTTTTTAAAATTGAATGGCTTATGCTAATGCTAATTTGGAAATTCTTTTATTACACATTTGTGTATTTTCCTATATAAATATATACTTAGATATAAAGAACTTCCTTATAAGTAAGTTAAAATTGGTGACGGATAAAATAATAATATCTATTATCAATTTGAAGTGATAAGTGCGTGATAAGTTAGAGGACACGCATGAGACTTTCTAGTCTCATATCTTTTTAAATTTTAATTTAACAAGCAAATGTAATATTAAGTCTAACCTCTCTGTTTATTTAAGTTCATTTCAGGGTTTGGGACTCAGTATTTACAGACGTATGTGAAAAATATTTTGGACAGTGACCTGGACAGAATGCAGAACAGAGAAGAGCTTCAGAACAATACCATTCATTTAATCTTTCAAGGCAATGTGGCAACGTGGATGACCTGGCCGAAGATGCACGTGTTGGCTAAAGAATCTCAATGGTTTGGTTATGGCAACAAGTCATTGTTCAGAAGCGCGGCAAGCAGAATTAAAGTAGCCATTATGACCAACGTTGGAAAGGAGATGGCACTATGAAAAAATGTAATGACTCCGACGTTTACTTACTGAAATATTTACCTTTAATATGCCTTGTTTTCGTAATTATAAGTAAGGAAAAATAAATGTATAAACTTATTTAAATATATTTCTGTATTAGAATGATAAAACGGAAATTCCAATAATTAATTACAACCTTAAGGTTAATTACAATAACAGTTACAGGCGCTTATCAACAGTTAAATATAATTAATTTATTCTAAGTCTAAACACACCTAATTTAAATTATTTATATACAATTAATCATAGAAAAACAATAATAACAGTCCCTTAAATAAGTACCTGCATTATACACATAAATAAACACAACTATGATTGTCAAAAACTTTTTAAATTCTAAAAATCTTTAACAACTTCAAAGGAAATATTAAAATTTTAATTTCTTAAATATACTCCGAGTGTGTAGAAAGTTAGAAACGTAAAAATAATTTAAGTTATATGAACAAGGGAGACTTGTCTTCCTTATTCATAAAGAGTAATTCAGTCTAACTGCACTATTTTAATTAAAATAATCTTTCGTCTCTTTCTGTCGAATTCTGATGAACAAATACTTATTTTAATGAGTTATTTTACTTTTTATACTAATTGCTGTTATATTGATACCAAAAGCCTGAACTGTAGAACCGAAATTGTTCCCAAGTGTTACACTTTCAGGCTTTCGATAATGAATACACTGTTCATTTTTCGTGCAAGACTAGTATCAAACCTTAGACGTAGCAGTCAACATGACATAACTAGCCCTTGTCTCCTCTTGCGCCTGTTCAGACCTGAAGCATCTATGGGGCTGAAAGTCTACTGGCTTTTTCAGCATTTTCCTAACAAACCAGACCAAACCGACGACAATCACCATTAAACCTAACGCAACACCAATTAAAGCTGTATTAAGACCTTTGACTCCAGATTTCATTTCGGACCCCAATGGTTCCAGCATTTGAGGTACAATGCATATAGGCTGGGACTTATCTTTCTTCCGTGATATTGTAGCGCAGACTTCATATGGACCGGTAATGAATCCTTCCATGAAAATTGCTAAGGTCTCTTGACAAGGCGAATCTTTTTGCGCTACCAATGAGCCCCTGGATAGAACTGCTAATACGACATAGCAGTGGGGATAGTGGTCCGAGAGACGCTGGGACCGTAATGAACGTAAAGGGAGACCCATTACCGATATCAAGACTGTGAGAACTCCATCGCTTGTTACGTTGGATCGAACCTCTGAGACACTGAAAGAAAATATTGATTTTCAATCCAGTGGATAGCTAAGGGCAGATCCGACTTAATCTCGAACTTTAAATTAATGTACACTTATTAAAATAACCTCCACTTTTTCCATACAATCTATTTACGAGTAAAATATTATAAAATCTAAAACTCCTATACTGATTTTGAAAATTATTTTTTTAACGAGTAACAGAGACTAAATAATATTACTACAATATTATTAGGCGCAAATAAATGAAAAATATTGAAAAAAAAACAAAAATTATTTGCTTAGCTGCCACTTTTCTTGTTTTGGTTTGTATTGCAAATTCGTTTGGATACTTAATACATATAAAAATAATATAGGATTTCGTGTATGAGCCGTTGAATTAATCTCGAATAGCATCATATCTTTGAACTACGACTACTACGACTACTACACATGTATGTTATGGGTGTGTAGAATATGTTTTGCTATAAATAAAATGAGGTGTTACCGTATATCAGGTTCGGGTGGTAGTGTAGCTACAGTAGTCCTCACTGTGACGTAGCTCGCTCTTTGTCGTACCAACTGTGGCAAACCACATCCAAGTACCAATGCCATTGGCACATCTTTCGCATCCATCTCTTCGAGTGCAATGCAGAATCTAAGAATTATTCGACTTTTTATGATAGATAACAATGTGGTGTGTTAAGAAAACTTTTAAAATTTATAATAACACTATTAAAAAATTATATGCATTTTTTTACTAAAAATGCTCAATATACCGCTGTATTTCCAAAAAAATAATAATATACATTTTAGTGGACGTAAAAAGAGTTTATTTGTAAAATAAGTAATTACTAATAGAAAGCCCATACAAAATTATTTATTTTTAAATATGTTAATTTACAAGGAAGGCGAAGGTTTTATTTGTAACGCCTTCCAAAATATACACAGCTGAGTAGATGTCAAAGTGAATTGCGATTTCCATTGATCAAGTGACTGATCTCTTTATTGACATAGCGAATGCTGCGCAATATTTGTTTTTACTTTTTCGTTAATAATAGTCATAATCTGGTTTTCATCGGAAAGTCATAATAAAAAATTTACATAAACATTTTAATTTTCAACTGTTTAATCAATGATACATAAAATGCAAAATTATTAAGTTATGTTTATGGTGTATTAAATGAATTAAAATTTTACTTCTGTGAATCATAGAATAAGCTATAATGAAGGAATAGAACTTACGAAATTTTAACGAGTAGATATTATAAACTTTAAAAGTTTAGGGCCACACGTTTAAAGGTAATCCTTTAAACGTGTGACCTTAAGAGAGGCAAATAAGCAAACATCCGAGTTTGTATCAAAAGTATCAGGCGTTACTGCTGATTATGGTAATATTAAAAAAAAGTGCATGCGTACAAAGTACACATGTTTGAAACTTCTTTGTAAATTAATTATTACTAAGGTAAAAGCCCCAATAGATGATCATGTACCAGTATACTATGATCACTCCATGTATTTGTATACCTATATTCACCCTGTTTACACACTATACGTGTTAATGATAATATAAATAATTTAATCTGCGTTTACTGCACAAGACGTTATGCGACAGAATTGCCATCTAAAGTTCTAATATGTAACTACTAAACGAGTACATCAACCAAGCGTGTATTTTTTCTATTTGCTTCATGCTACGTTCGCCCTTTCTCACTCTTTCTCAATCGGTCTCAATCGCTCTCTCCCTTTTCTTCGACAAAAACGCTGCACATCTTCGTGACGCTAATATTATTATTATAGCGTTTCATCCGTAAAAAACCCTCATGCGCCTAAAGAAGTTTCACTTCAAAAGGATTCATATAAAAATACTTACGTATACATCTCTAGTGGATCAATTTTTAACCCCCGTAATATTACGTTAGTGGGTGGAGCTCGATGACAAGCAACATGCTTCGCCAGACCACCTCCTTTAGATGCTGTCACCCCAGTACATCTGAAGCGTCGAGTGGACGGAGGTTCTACTGACCATGATAGGTGAACCTCTTCATCGTCATACCAGGCGTCTAGTAACTGTACCTAAAATATGGAAATTTCCTCAATTGTATTTTGTTTTTAACTTATGATTTTCATTTGTTGATTATATTTCATAAAACAAGAAAGCATTTTTTTAAATATTATTTGTTTGATTGACAAAAATTACTGTATAGCTAAAAGTAATAATTACAAATATTTTTTTATTTACAGAACAAAATTAAATGTTTTGTGGCCTGACAGAAAAACGGCTGTGAAGGACCCAAAATATCAATTTATATACACAATGTAAGAAACACAATTCATTACACGAAGTTGGTATTATGTACCTTTTTCAAATCCTTTTATAATTTTACAATGAAACCTTATAACGTCACTGCAAAGCGAACTAGCTGCTCTTTTATCGAGTTTCTCGGTAATAATATTAAACGACCCTTATGAACATTAATTAGTGATAACCAATATAAAAGTCGGTACATTTTATATTACCAGGAAGCACTTCAATATTAAGCTTTCTTTCAAGACCGACTTAAAATTTTGTATTATTTATTTTCCATTTAAAATTGAGAAATTTTCTGAAAGAAAAATTACCTGATCTGTCGAAATTGGCAAATCCTCTTCGCCTGGCACATCTAATTCTTCGTCATAAACATCATCATCTAATCCATCGCGTTTATCACTGTATATTTCATCATCTATCGAGTTTATCATCACCTTACTATAATCGTACACATCCTCCTTCATATCCACGTGTTCGAAGTCGTCACATAACTTATTTTTCGACAGCCTTCCCAATAACGCCCCCTCCAAATGAGGTGGGGTCGCACAGACCACTGAAGCCTTATCGGTTTGAGAGACGTTTTTTGCTTCCCGTAACCACCGGGCAAAGCCAGCCATTAAGCAATCGCAATTAAGAGGATTATCTGAAAAAGAGAACGAATTTATCTTTATGAGTATAAATGGGATGGAATTAAAATTAACGATCATCAAACGATTGTAGCGAACTTTTTGCTTTTTGTTTCAGCGATGTGATTTCATCGGCATTAATGAAGGCTTCAATTGTAAATGGAAGTTGGGAATCCGTGAATTGTTCTGTTTAAAAATCGAGTGCTTTCCGCCGATAATCAAGTCAATGAGTGAATATAATTATATTTTTCCGTTTTAAATATTGCCTCCCGATTGCTGTTAAATTATATGGAGTGGATTTATTTTCTACGAGGAAACCAATTTTCAATAAATTGTGGTTCATAATTAATTGAGAGCATTCAAATATACGCTATGTTTTTGCTGTCGTTTTTATTTCTGTAAATTTATGATGTTGTAGAAAGAAGTAAAATTATATATAGTACCAGAGTCAACTAGATTTACCAAATTCAGAACAATATTTAGTTTCATCAGTCTTCACAAATCTGTACGTTCTATCAAGACAACTAATAGTGGTTAATTGACGGAGCTACTAACGGGATTATTGAAAATATTTACGTACAGGATGTAAAAGCTAGTAATCCCATAAGTTATGAAGGCCAGATAACAATGAGTCATGGGCGCCATGGCATAATACAGGGTGATACGCTGACAGCTCAACAAAGGGTTTGACATACCAACGCACAATGACCAGTATTGGACATACGGGAAAAATTACTAGAAAACATGTCCTAAGCTTCTTGAGTGAGGTAAACGTCTCGAAATGCACATACGAAGTGCGAGACAGTTTAGAAAATGAATAATACATATTTATTTTCATTATTCACGTACATATACAGAGAAAGATTTTAATTGGTATAAGCTTGGTCTAAAATTACTAAATGTGAAAAAGTTTTTTTATGGAATCTCGCTGTTGGCCTGAAGGGCCTTCACAACTCAGATCAGGCTATTTTGGCGAGCGTAAATCGACTGTAATGGTGTATACTTAAGATTTCCAAACAACTAATTATATCGTGAAGTGGAAGCACATTAACAAAACTTAGACTTAACTTATATCTATTTTTTACACAAGAAAACAATTTGGAAACACGCGTTTTTAATAGATTTTAATATGTGTAAAAGGCTTTAATATTACACTGTGCCAACATCATAGATTTTACTTGATACACGTTCAGTCTGTATGTATCCCAATAAGATGCTTGTCACTGTATAGTCGTTACAATAGAAGCCCAAATCATTGTGTAGCGTGCTATCATCATTGATAAATAATATGTCATTATTATTAATATCCCATGCTTAACTTCATATTAGGGGCGGATATATTTTTTTAAATATGTATTATTAATAAAAAACAATGTTTTATTAGGAAAGGTTCTAGGGTAAGATTCAGAGTCCAGACTTTGCGCGAACTTTGCCCTTGTATGTCAAAAAAGGTACAAAATAAATTGGCTTTGCAAACGGGAGTCATTAGCGCTGTGTCTCTTTTTAATAAATATTTTATTAGTGTTTGATATTTTAAATGGTCAATCAACCTTATGTATCAATAATCCAGGACAGTAAATAAACCATAAAGGTTTCGCAGGGTATGGAATCCAGTCCGTCTGAATTACGCAAAACATGTAAACAAAATTTAGTATCACATTTGACGAACTAAGACTGTTAATAATAAATACATTGTAGATTGTCCATACCTTCAATAGTAAACCGGCTAAGATTTTTATGTAGTCCTAGTGCCCCATCTTCAATAATCGAAATGTCATTATCGTGTAACAGCAGCTCGGTGAGATCGTAGAGCGACCGTAGAGGCTCCGCAGAAAGTGAACGTAAAAAATTGTGGGATAAATCCAGATGAACTAGGTTCGTTAGCTGCGCTAGTGAGGCACCTGTTGATAAAATAAATAAGTAAAATTATCTTTTACATGGTATTAGGTAAATAAACTCATCATTAAAGAGCTTAATAAACTATTGTTATATTTATTTATACTTGCGTATGAAACTATTCTAGGATGTATCGAACATTGTAATTTTTATTTAGGTTTAAAGACATTTATTCTCATAACAGACAAGAGTCACTTACATGAGAACTTATATACTAAAGATACAATTTATCACGTCGTGGGTCATTGAAGAGCTTCAAGGATCAATTAGCGAAGTAGAACTTGGGTGGACTTTCATTTACGCAGGTAACTGGGATCACTCAAGAGATGGTCTTTTAGTCTAAATTTAAATATTTGACTTTTGTATAGTACAAATAAATTAAGAGAAGTATCGGGTATTTGTTACCGTAATTAATAAATAAAACACGGCCACCATAAGATCTTATAAACTAACTCATGGTTATGCACCGATAGAATTTTCATATGTTGCGCAAGTAATACTTGCTCGTACAATAGAGAAAGACATTGTAAGGCAATGAACTTGCCTTAGACCCTAAAATCTATGGCTTTGTCAGGCACAAAAGGCCGATCCACCTGCCTATAAAATGATCAACAAAAATCTAGAATGTTAGGCCAAGACCCATGCACATACAGGTAAGCCTGAAACTGTTGAAATATCCAATTTAGAATATTACTTGGATTTAACTAACAGGAAATTGCTTGTTTTACGACAGTGAATTTTCTCTTAATGTTATTTAAGAACATTTTGATTCTTAACACTAAAAATGATTTAAGATACTGTTCAATTAGTTCATATTTTATTCAAATAAGTAAATCAAATAAGTTAAATTCGTTGTTTTAAGGAAGTATCACAGACTTAGAAAAAATATACAATAATAGGCCCTGAACCTCCTAGCTCTAAAAGTTAGGGATAGTTATAATTCTAATTCTAAATTGTATAATTAAATCATTTTTGTTAAAGCATAAAATATAATGACTAAAGCAAAATACGGCAATCTTTTCGCAATCCTTCGGCATTTTTTGCGGAAATTGAACCGTCAGGCTTCCTGAGCCCCGTTTTATCACAATAAAGCTTATCTGGACCTAATCTGATTTAGGTCTTGGGAAATATTCTTGAATATCAATTCTATAATGTCTCGGAAATGATTTATTATTATGTTATTAAATTGGAGATTTATATATTCTATGTGCGCATTTAACACTTGTTCAGTTGTGAAGGAAATATCGTTAGGAATTGGCACCTAAGGCCCAAAAATCGAAAGCTGCGTAAGTGACCACACAGTGCAGCATATTATATTTTAGAATGAATGTTGGTATTTTATGCTAATAATAGCCAGCCATACACCCAGCTCTAGTGATTATAGATCACTACTTCCTCATAATTGACATACTATTATTGGTATAAATCATTTCTACGTATATAAGAAATGTAATTACAAAGCAAATAAATAATGGGTCAACATTCGTTTACCACGAAATGGATACTTAAACTTAGAAAGATCTTTGTTTGAAATATTTATTTTCATTTATATTTGCAAAATATATGAGGTATAATGTTTTAAATAAACAACCTGCTTAGTATTTTCGGCACACTTGCGCTACCTTACTGGCTCGGGACAGCTTGTTTTCTATATGTTCCGACTTTTAGTAATGTTAAAGACCACTAGACTTTTTGAATTGACTAGCGTTACGAATTTATCAATATAGTAGTTATCGATAGCTGCGCACTATCAGAAGTATTACTGTCATCACCTGTCAAATGTTATCTGTCAACTGTCGTGTAGGTATACGATTAAAATCTATTTACATTTTGGACATAACAGCACTAATAATTTCAATAAATGTAATTCTATGACTTACCAGAAACGGAAACGATCTCATTATGTGATAAATCGAGATGTGTTAAGTTAATGAGTTGTCGAAATGCGTAGTCCTCCAATACGTCTATTTGATTGTTATGAAGATTTAGATGTGTAAGATTTGCGAGACCTGAAAAAAAAAAAAATTTGGGCTCCTGTCAAAAATGTCAAACATTATAGAGGATTTAATGAATATTGACACAAGTTTGATTTTCGTTCTAGACTACGGCTTCGCTACAAGTACTACGAGTCTCGTAATGAATAAAGTCAAATTTGAAAAAAAATATTTTATTTTTATTTTTCCATAGCTTCTAAACTTTAAAAAAAGACACGATGAGCTATTATTGTCTATGCAAACAGTAATATAAAGCTTTAAAATTTAAGCTTATACATATAATAAAAACAGCTCCAATACAGAAAATATTAAGAAAAACTTTTACTATTGAGAAAAATATTAGATTAGCAAACATACAATTCATGGCTGAGAATACTTAATTCCCGTGACCACCAATAAAACCAACAAAATACCTGCCAAAGCGCCACGCCGTATACTCGCGAATGTATTGTCTGACAGGTGTAGGGTCTCCAATACCCATAAGGTCGGCAGTGTTGTGGGTCCCACAGGCCCTTCCAATGCATTGCTCGATATATCTAACTCTTTCAACGATTTAGCCCCCTGTGAATAGTTTAGATATAGTCGAAACGTTCGAAATTCAACCATTTTATATTCGCTCAACGCTTGACTTTGAGGTTAGTAAATGTTCAACATTGATCATTTAGAACATGCATTTCAAATGTTCTAAAATCGAATTTAAATTTTTATTAATTCAACGCAGCAATGTGCCCCAACATTTACTCGTATAATAAAAATTAACAAATTTGAATTTAGAATGTTTGAATTTAGAATTTCAACGTTCTAACTCAAAGTAGTTTCATTTTTAAATTTTAAAAATGGAATCAGACTATTTATAACAAGTTGCAAATGAAACATATTCAGACTTAATCAGCGTCCAGACTTTAGGGTATCTGTACTTACATTCACACAGTCTAATAGATAAAGAAAAACAATTTATTATCAACATCTTGCTAACGAGTTCAAAGTAACTATAGAGCTAATTTCGCTAATATTCTGGTTAATATTAATCCTTACCTTGAGCGAAGATAAGGCTGATACTTTAAGGAGGTTTCCTCTTAACCTCAAAACTGATAATTTGATTAGGGGCTTGAAAGCCTCGGGCGATATACTCGTCAGCTGATTGTCGTTTATGTCGAGATAAGTTAGATTTTGAAGACCCTGGAAACATTATCATAAAATACATCAGTGCCGTAACCTAGGCTTTTCAATGGACTGGGTTGTTTTAAGAGACGTTGAGCGGACATTTAACACTTATTTGATTGTATTTTTTTGTTTTTTGATGTGTAAAAAATTTAAAGTTGATAAGTAGAATCGAATACAATAAATTGTGAAGAATACAATAAATTGTGGAATATCGTAATAAATAAATAACTACCTTGTGATACAAAACATATTTTATAGTTAACTATAAAAAAAAATTAAATACAAAATGCATTAATAAACAATGTAAATTTCGATCAAAATTTTTTTTTAATATTATACACGCTTTGACGTGTCCACTTTCAAGGATATGAAGCATTAAAAATTAGATCAGATTATTGGTATGAATTCAAAATATGTTAACAAATACGTACCTTAAACGAGTTTCCATCCAACGCGTGAATTTTGTTATTTGAAAGATCTAATCGGTCTAAATAACCTAAGTTTGATAAAGCTTCCGTAGGTACTGATGGTAGTTGGTTATTTGGAAGACCTGTCAACAAAAGTATTAAATGATTTTTTTATTTATTTATAACTAACTAACAAGGCCACAGCCTTGCGATTCTGTAACTCACTCTTCAAACTCTCACAGCGGTTTTCGCAGCGGCGGTAGCGCTCAAATCAGTCGTGAAGCAGTCATTTTACAATTTGTCATTCTGATAAGGAGAGAGCTTGTAGTTTATTGTTTATTAACATGACTGCTTTACGACTGATTTGAGCAAGACCGCCGGTGTGAAAACCGCTGTGAAGGTTGGAAATGTGAGTTACAGAATCGCAAGGCTGTACGTCTTTATATACATAGGGACCGTCGCTATGTGCGGATGGTGTTACAAGTATAGTGCTTATGATGAATGTACATAAAAAAGAGACTAAAATTACAAATGATAACAACTATACATTGTAATTGTTTTATTATATTGTGTTGTCTCATTTACATTGCAATCATCGTAATTTGGATTCGGTACCTCCATTTTCTGTAGGTGTAAAATTATATCTTAGACATGTTATAAATTGTGACAGTTGATCAATATTCTTATGTAAATATAAGCATCTAATTAAGCTAAGAAAGATATACGTGTGTTACCTAAGGCCAATAAAGTACTAGCAATACTCGTGAATGCCCCTTGTTGTACCCGTTTAATGTCCCCAGAAGATATCACTAAACCGTGAAGTCCTACTCCTGCAAGTTCTGCCACTGAGGCAGAGGGGAGTGACGTCACGCCGCGCAGAGCACAGTCCAAGAGCGAGACAGCTGAATTCTTATTTCTTCCTCTCTTTTCGCGAAGATGTCGGCCTATTATCTGAAACGAAAATCTATTTAACGTAATTGTTAAGAGTACGGATATTTTTCATATTTCATCTACGTAATTTAGGAAATCCTATATAAAAATATAGTAGAACAATAAGTTTATACATGGTTCGGTTTCGTTCACTGGAATATGTACGCTAAGAACCATTGTATTTCTAAATTTAAAACGATTCGAGTTGCATTCGTAAATAAAATCAGGACGTCATTTATTTAAGTGTGCTTTAACAACATAGCAACGTTGCCGTTTTTTTTAATACAACTGGGGGCAAACGGACAGGAGGCTCACCAGATGTTAAGTGACATGCCCATGGACACTCTAAATGCCAGAGGGCTCGCGAGTGCGTTTCCAGCCTTTTAAGAATTGGAACGCTCTTTTCATGAGGGAACCTTAGTCGAAATGGTTCGAAAATACTACAATAGGCAGCTGGTTCTACATAGAGGTGGTGCGCGGCAAGAACTGGCTTTAAAAACGCTCACTTGTGGATAAAGAACTAAGAACCTATTGTATTTCGAATATTTCAAATAAAATTTGCTTGGAAAAATTCGATTCAGTTAAAATGAATGATTGGTACCGAATTCATTGGTTGAATTAATTCGTTTAGCTCCGAGGGCAATTTGTGCTCCTAGTCTGCAGCTCAGAGTAAATATAAAATTTAATTAATGTTCTTCTAATACGAGAAAGCTGTTTTATTTGATTTATCGGTTAATGGGTATTTGTTTCAATTTAAAGCTCTTTGAAGCTCTGGTCAACGTTGAACTTTTTATAACGTTTCATTATTGCTTATTTTTGCGATAATTTGAGCAGGATTGGTAACTGAAGCGTGGAAGTCGAACTTAATTGATTAACTAATAAATTTATGGAGTCATTAATTTATTTATTAAATTTAACATATAAAATAAAAACTTGTTACCAACCCTATCGTTATACGAATCAAAAAGCGAATCGAAAAAAAATAAAAAGATAGTTCTAAAAAGCTTCGTCAAAGCTTCAATAAGCTCAGGTCACATGAAAATTAATAATGAAAACTGAACAATCGCTCTTCTCTTAATACATCTTTTGGTCTTTGCGAATTCAATTTTCCATCCATTGTTGTTCTCAATCCATATTTTTCCTTTAGTCTCTGGTCGTATTGAAAGATTTCTCATTAAATTCACAAAATTAAAAAAGAAATTTCCAATTTGTGGTCTGTTTGAAACAAATCACTGTACGTTTGTATACAAAAGTTAGGCAAAAATTATATCGTTTCTATAATACATTTTGACTAAACTTGTGAGAGATTGTATTGATTTGTATTTGAAAGATAATACAAATTTTCGAATTCAAATTTATTTAGTTATCACTATTCTCTGATTTATTTTAAATAAACATATTACAATTTTGAAGATGACTTGAAACTGGCAGCGGGGCCATTCTGGTTGAGAGTAGCAAGGGACAGTATCCACTGGAAGGAATTGGAGGAGGCTTATGCCAAAAGGCACACCGAACTTCACCGAATCTCTTGTAACCCTACGTTTAGGAATAAAAGGCAATTATTATTATTATTATTACAATTTATCTAACATCTTGCGCGTTTTACTGCAAGCACGGTCATGATAGTTGATTGAAGTAAATGCAGTGTTCTGTTTTGATGATTTTTAAAATAAAGGTTGCAAATTTAATAGCCTAAGTAGTCTTTGTAACATAATGTATATTTTATGAATAGTTAGAAATATGATATAGGTACCGTTATAATGTATTCATTAATTTTTTAATTTACTACATCTTCTTATTCATAAAAAAAGACGAAAATAACTTGTGTAAATTATTCTGAAAATTTAAAATTATGGAAATTAAGGGCTGATACTGGAAAATTTTACGAAAGCAAACAATAATAAAATCTTCATAATTGTATCAAGAGTATTATAATAAAAATGCTTATGAATAACAATAAATACAATGGAAAAATAAACCGGAATTTATTTCCCTATATTATGTTTTGCCTAAACTAAATAAACAAGATAGCGACCTAAAAATATTTGGCTCAATCCAAGAGTAATCCATAATGTCTATCTGTATTGTCACTCGAAGAAAAAATATGAAATATTTGCGGTCAGTGATAGAAATGTGTGTTTGTTTTGCTCTAGATTTAGTCGAAGAGGCGTCTATTATAATTTGCGGACTCGATTTATTTGTCCTTATACATTGCTTAGATAAGAGATAACAACATGATCTTTGTGTATATATGTACAATCTGCGCTAAACATCTACAACCGACGAGCTAACAAAGCGGGAAAACTTGAGAAGTTTTAGCTTAGCCTTAGCCACTGTGGCCTTCAGCTCGCTCAGTCAAGTGACTGGTCGAGGATCCTACCTTTAGGTCGGAGGAAGAGACGGACCTTCGTTCTTCCACTCTATTTACACAAACTTACTAATTCTTACAATAAACTAAGGTAATAACCAATATAAATAGTATTATTCAATAAAATTAGAACTTCGGATATAAAAAATGTATTTCTATAATAAAACTTACATTTTATCTCTTACAGTAGAGGCTATATTATTCCCGTCAATGTTCGTAAACACTGATGGGTTATAAGATACCGTTTATGAAAGGAAAAGTAATAATAGTTCGAGCTCGTGTGTGTATTACGTGACAGGCGACAAAAGGCATTATTAAGTGATTTGTTCATATTTTCACTCGACAGGAATATGAAATATGTTTTGGAATAGGTTGATAGAAAAATTGTCGTATTTAAAAAAGCTTACAAAGTTGGAATACTTTTGTGAAATAGGTTCATGTATTGGTTGTGTCGTAATGAATGGTTAATATAGTACCTACAGGTAAAGACCAGTTCAGAAAAATATGTTTATGTTTAGTAAAAGTCTTCGTGATCTTCGAAATTTTCGAAAATTCGAAATTTTCAAAAATTCAATGAAATTACTCCCTTTGCCATTCTTTTTGGTGACAAGACTCCAAATGAAGAAATTCTTTCAATCTGTTTTTGGATAGATCCGCTATCCAATGTAAACGTGTATGATTTTTGGATATTTTTATTATCGATTCATTACGCTACACCCTACGTACATAAAAAACTAAACTGTCAAAAATAATCATGACCGTGACCGTCAGTAATATACTGTGTAGTAGGAAATTACTTTTAAAATTTTCGTTTCATAATCTATATATAGCTGTAAACATAGCATTAATTTACCTGTAGGGCGGTATGATCTCCTGCGCAGCGAAGTGTGTGAGGTAGATCGCACGAACACTCGGCTGATGGTCGCGCACTAAGCTCTGGACAACGCCATTCCGCCACCGAATTCGATACCAGACACAGTAACGCGGGAACCATTAGCCACATTCTGAGGAGAAATATACAAATTATTATCTATGATGATATTTTCATCATTTTAAAATTATGAGGAATTTCTTGCCAGTTCGTCACGTCTGTGTGCTTTAGTGGTAATAAATGTAAACCTAGAAGTTTATCGGTGACATGAATAAATTGATAAATTAACTTTTACAGTAGATTATTATATTCATTATACTCATAGTACTCGCTACCTACACGACACTTTCTGAAAAGGCAGAATAGCAGCTATGAAATTTACATTCTATGAGTGTTAGCAGGCTATGGTAATCATTCTTATTGATGCAGCTAAAATCTAAATACAATTTAAAATAAATTAATAATGCGGAAAATGGAAACTTAAATTGAGTTTTAGGAATGGAACTAAATTAGTAACTGTATACTAAATTTAGCCATAGTGACGGCAGCGGAAACGGTTCTCAGTCGAATAAAATATAACATAACTCAAAGAGGTTTTATGAATACTGTAGACACGTACTAGTAATGCTAGGCTAAAATATATTTCTTAACTTTTCTCTTGGGGCTTTTAGATATATCAGACAGCATTTACCCATTTAATAACCTGTTTTTTTTATTGTTGCTTAATATATTATAAATAAACAAAAAGTACAGAAATCACCAAAATCCTGAAGAGCTACACCACAGTACAAATTTTAAATGCCTTACAATTTAATAGTCAAAAAATCTAAACGAAAACATTACAAGAAACAAAAATAAAGTAAATTTTTAAATAATTACTGACTTAGGTAGTTTATGCCTTAAAGTAAAACTTAAACATATCATATTCGGATTTTACAATTTACATGTTTGATGAATGAATTATATATTTAAACGTAAAGTAACGAGCTATCACGTAAAAACTTATATGCAGTACGCCAAAAGAAAGAAACAAAATAAGTTCGATCGATAACAAAGCGTCGAAAGAAAGAACCCGCTAAAGCATTAATTCAATAAGAAGTAGGTAAACATCGGTTACAAGACATCTCAAATCTGTTCCGGCCATATTACGTGGTACTTGTAAAAGAATTGCCACTGCATTGCGTGTGGTTGCGACATAATGGGATATTTCCACTGAGTGACGGCCGGACGAATATCGTATGGGATAGGATGAAGGAATATAGAGGTTTAATTTTTATTTTTTATAACGTGGGTAGTATTTCGTAAACGGAAACTTAAAGCGATCACAAACACCATGATTTTACAAGGAATATTATATATATAAAATAAGTTCTAAGTTAGCAAGAAATTCTGAGAGCGAACATATAATCCCGCTCTTGACTCCCGCCAATTTTTTGATCAAAGCCCAAAAATTTCAATCAAAAACCAGCTAATTAGTTTAAAATTTGTAATTTTAAATTATTTTGCTGTAAACATAATTGTGAGCTCAATTTCCGCGTTTTTCTGACAGACGCAGTTCTCAGCTGATTCGTAGCCATTAATTCAGCCAGTCACTCTTTAACACAATAACATGATGCGACGTAGGCTTGTAACTTACACTATACGAGATGTACGGTGGGAATAATAGCAAATTGCAGGACCATTGATAACGCACGGTGACGGACGGACAATGCTCCGTCTTCGATCTGCATCTTGATGTATGACCTATTTTCATAGTTATATTCCCTGTGTCTGCAATTCGCAGAATATACATAATAAAAATTATGAGAGAAGAGATGTATTCTATTAATGTTATAATTATATCCCTGTTAATAAAACTAATGTTATATTTACATACTTATATGTACTATAATATATTATCTTTTATGTTAATTTTTTTCTTTAATTTGCATAAAGCAATCTAACTATTTGAATAATTATTTCTGCCAATTTAAGATACGCTTGGTTTGTACATTCAAGACACGAATCATAATTGCTTCGAGTCTTTGATTGTTCTACCAAGAAGTCTGTCACAATTTTTTTGACATAGCGTAAAGGAGAATTTTATCGAAACAAAGTGCGTTTGTATTTCGGGAAGTTAATATAGTTACTGACCAATAGTATACAACTATTTTGTTTCTTGAATACTTCTTGAAGACTTTGTGATAGGCTTTTTCTATTATGATTTATAAAGAAGATCTCACGTGCAAAATTAACTTTTAATTATCTTCGAATAATCCTATTTTCTACGCCTAGACTTAATATCTAGTGCACTCATAATCCGATATTATATTAACTTGTCGGCTTAATTCTTTATGGTATTACGTTGTTTAGGATACAATATTAAAAAAGTAGGCTAAGTACGTACTTAAGTAACGTAAAGTACAGGCAGTTATTTTTTTTCTGTTGGAATAAAATTGACTGCCTGTATTCGTATTTTGATTATATTATGGTGCTAAAGTGGCCGTAGGTGAAGTTAAGATATTCAAGTGAATGTTAAAAATCATAGCAAATTTTTATTGATAAAAGTACTCGCGGAAATAAAAAAGTAAATAAAACCGAATCCCTCTGTATCTATAGCATATTCGAAGTTTTTATATTGTGTGCGCGATTTGAAGCTAATTTTTGGCAATTGATGATACAATTTATTATAGTGTGTAAATACGTAACAAAAATTTTAGTTTAGCTCTTTTAATGACGTTAAGAAAATATATATAAATTTTATATTCTATGAATAATTCAAAAGCAGTCTAGCTACCTCCTTTTCGATATATGTCTAGGCACGAAACTTCGCTAGATTGTGCGGGGCGTCAGGTTAGCTTACCTACTTGTATTTTTATTTTTTCTTGGAAAAAACCTTGAACGACATGTACATGTGTAAGCTTCGTTTATATACGTGTAATAATGTATATAAAAGATAACAACGTAGCGAAATTTTAATCTCATCTACTGTGTACAATACAGTTACCCTTCAAGCTTTGCACAATTGAATAAACATAATCATATCACTATATACAAACCCTGCGAGTACAATTTAGTAACACAAAGCACCAGAAAGACTTAATATTCCCTATTAAGGCGACGTTTTTTGCACCAATTTATTCGGACCTACCAAAAGCCGCCTTTTCACACATTAAAACAATGCGAAAGGATTCATTTGAAATTGGAATCATTTATCAAAATAATATGAGTGTTTGTGACAGGGGCTCACGTTTAAAAATTACCTCAAATTTAATGTAAAGTTATAGGAACTCGAGACTCGTATGAATATTCTTATGAATCACGGGTTCCTAATGAATTTCTCCTTCTAAAATGATCTAAAAAATTTCCTAACCACTAACAAATTAATCTCCATACATTCAAGTATAAAACACTCTTTTTTTTTTTAAAGACAATTCACACCAATTGACCTAGTCCCATGCTAAGCTGGTGAAGCTTGTTTTATGGGTACTAGGCAACGGATATACATACATATTATAGATAGATAGACATATAAATACATATTTAAACACCCAAGACCTAAGCACAACACCAAATTCTCATCACATCGCTGTTCGTCTCAGCCGGGGATCGAACCCGGGACCCATGGATTCGCAGTCAGGGGTACTAACCACTAGACCAATGAGTCGTCAAAGTGTTGAAGATTGTGTGAATCTCAAGCCTTATGTTAACACACTAAAAACATTTCTGTATACATTTTTGTTGACTTATAAAACATATTTTTTCTTATTTATGCACTTCCCCTTAACTCCGTACGCAATGCGTACAATTACCTAAATTGGTAATTGTCGACTCTTGCCCACAGTTACTTGCACTTGCATCACGACGGCATCCACACACTAGGTAAATACCTCTTTTATTAAATATATTTACCCTTTGCTTGATCTATATTTGTTAGCAAATAATTCGTTTCATTCATAGACGTTTATCATTCATTATTTCTACCTTAGATATATTTATTATTGTTTGGAGTTTCTCTAGATTTTTACGTCATAAAAAAATTAATGCTGCTAAATTTAACTTACTGCCAGTTTTTAAATGTACGGCGTAGGACGAGAAATACTGGCAATAAACTCTCCGTCACTCTCTTAAATCGCCAAGATTTTTGCAAACGTAAGCATCTGCTACCAGTTATGCTTCTCATCACATGTCAAAGCAGTTTATTATTGTAATTATATAATAAATAAGATAACCAAAGCACGGTGAAAAAGAAGCATCCACTTAAGTCGTTCTGAGGTCAAAACGTAAACGCGTAGTATCGAGGTGAATCAGGGCAGAAAATATTAATACATAGCTACACTAAGTCCCAGCGAAAAACGTTCATTAGGTAGTAAATAGTAATTCTGTTACAAATTTTAATTCGTAAGCGTTTTCGTATAGAGGTCATACTCTTAGACGTACCTTTTATGCAAACATCGTAATCAATTACTAATTTCAATATTATATTTACTAATAAATCCCCAATGTTAAAACAAAATTCTCATAACATGACAATGATAGGATACTCGTAAATATTCAACGCTGTTATTAAATGCTCGTTAATATTTAAATTGTATAACTTGAGCAAACAGAATTAAATCGCTGTTGTAAAAACGATGGACTAATCCAAACACGATATTGTTAATATTAATTTAAATTAATTATGAATGTTGCTCCGTAGCGTATACTCATAGGTCGTTGATTGGATTTCCGGCGAAACAATGATTGATTATTAAGCGTAGAAATTTGCATATCACCTAAAAGGGCCGGCGACGCACTCGCGAGCCCTTCGGCATTGATAGTGTCCATAGGCGGCGTATCTCTTAACATTAGATGAGCCTCCTGTCCGTATGCTGTTTTATATAAAAACAACACGTAATACCAGTTATGTACTGGTGTTAGAACATTCGTAGTCATTATATTATGATAAAAAGTTTTATTTTATATTTTGTCGATGCCAAAACTATGTACATGATATAATAATTTCCCAATTGTTGGTACATTTATAGAACCAATAATTTCCGCTGTTACAACTTCTGCTGTAAAAAATTGGATTCATGTCTTTAAGAAATTCATGTCGCGGAAAAACATTCAACCGATGTTTTACATAGAGTAGCAATGTGTATCCAATGTAG